TGGAAGTCAGAATAAGGAATTCTTGAGTAGCCCCAAATTCTACTCTGCCTTATGTTTCAAATCCAGTAACCTCTTGTTTCAGTCTTTCCCTGAGTTTATAGTGATCTTGATATCTTACATAACCCTTGACTTTACAAGCTATCTGAAGCATATTCATAAATTCTTTAGTTAATCCTCAGCTATCTCCAACATCTCTGCTTTCTCCTAGCCTAGGTTTCTCTCAGCTCTGACAGAGGCAATGCCATTACTGATTCCCTTTCCCCCACACTTTTTTGACATTTTTATTTTAAAAAGATTTTGAATTTATAGAAAAGTTGCAAGTATAATATAAGGAACTCCTACATGCCCTTTTCCTGGATTCACCAATTGTTTATATTTTGTCCCATTTCCCTCATCATTTCTAACTAAATTAAGTTGAGCGTAAGTTGGACACATCATGCCCCTACACTCTTAAATACTTCTGTGAGAGTTTCCTAAGGAAAAGGAAATTCTATTACACGGCACAATAAAACTACAAAAACACTGAGTCAAGAACCACTATCTCTCACCTCAACACTTACTGGCAGGAAACAGAAATTAAGACCCAGAATTCAGTTTTGCACATCACAATTCCAATGCTTCCCCTTCTGAAATGGAGAATACCCTATTCCTTCTTTGATTCTTCCTGACCCAGTAATGTTTTCAACCAGGGTCCTGAGAAAGGATAACTTATCCTAGAAAAGAAAGAGCAAGAGGAGAATTAGACACACCCCCCCACCTTACCTCTCCTCCTTCCGCCTGATCAAGAATATTACTTCCCAAAGAAACTAGTCTCTTCGAGTGAATGATCACCCAATACACACGTCCATCTAGAAAAATTTGCAAATGTTCACCCCCATTTTTTCCACGTCCCAAATAATTTCTCTTACTTTCCTTTTTACTGTGGCTCGTCTGCTTCCCAGGCAGGAATGAATGCCACTTTTTCTCTCTAAATCCCTTTTTTTCCCTCAAACTTACAGAAAACTTGAAGGTGTAATACAAAGAACTTTTTTTTCTTGAACATTTAGAGTAAGTTGTTGACACAGGGCTCATCACCTTCAAATACTGTAGTATTCCCTACAAACAAAGACATTCACCTACATACTACAAAGCAATCATCCCAATCAGGAAAGTAACATTGACTCATCACCATCATCCAATCCTCAGATCCCATTCAGTGTTTTGCCAGGTGTCCCAACCATACATCCAGCTCAGATTCAAGCTTTGTTTTAATGGCATGCTTTGTTAACTTTCTTTAATCTAGGAAAGTTTCTCAGTCATTCCTTGTCTTTCATAACCTGGATATTTCCAAAGATTACAGGTCAGGTATTTTCTTAAAAGTCCCTAAAGTTAGCAGCCACATAGAACAGGGAGATCAGCTCAGTGATCTGTGACCCATCTAGAGGGATGGGATAGGAAGGGTGGGAGGGAGATGCAAGAGGGAGGAGATATGGGGATATATGTATAAGTATAGGTGATTCACTTTGTTATAAAGCAGAAACTAACACACCACTGTAAAGCAATTATACTTCAATAAAGATGTTAAAAAAAAAAGAGAGAGAGAAAAACAAAAGTCCCTAAAGTTTAGTTTGTCTAATGTCTTCTCATGATTAGACTCAGGTTATGGATCTTTGGCAGGACAGAAGTGATGCTGTGTTCTTTCACTGCACGCTATCAAGAGGCACACAGTTCTGAATTATCCCACTTCTAATGGTGTACAGTTGGATTGCTTAAGGTGGTAGAAGTCAGGATTCTCTACTTTGAAGTTACTCTTTCTCTTTTAAATTAATATTTTTCAGGGAGGTAGTTTGAAACTATATAAATATCCTGTTTTTTATCAAACTTATTCATCTATATCATTTTAGTTTCATTGTTTACTGTTTTATTCAATGGGTTATAATTACTTTCAGTTTATATTGATTATTAAATTATTTCCAGTGGGATCCCCTTCAAGCTGACTTTGATGTCCTTTTGACAGGTCGACATTATTCTTTGATGATTTCCTTCCTTTCTGGCAAAAAAAAAAAAAAATAATCTAGGCTCTCTCTTGTACCTTCCCTGCTTCAGACACGGAATTAGCAATTTCCTCAAGCATCCCTGGTTCTTTTTACTGATATACAGTATGTAGAATGCAAGATCTGGATCTGCTTCCAGGCACTTGCATTGGAAACAGCTTTGGGGGCACGCACATGCACACACACACACACACACACACACACACACACACACTCACACTCACACTGAAAACCATGAGCTCACAGCAATACCTCTAATTTCCATCTAACACTACAGGATATATTCAGGTTTTCCACATTTTCGCATTGGCAATTCTTTTCCAACAGTAAGAAATCAGATGCCCATTATCCTTCATATACATTCTTATTTTCCAATTCCCTTGTGCGTAGCTAACCTCCCTTCCTACCACTGTCCCTCACCTGCACAGATGTTCTCCTCACCCTGCTCCAGCTCCCAGTCCCTGGGCTGGCTCCTGCTGCCTGAAATACAAATGGTCACTCCTCGGCCCTCTACATTTGCACTTAGTCACCAGTGTTCCCCACTTATTCCTTCCTCTGAGTGTGAATGTCTTCTTTGCTGGGTCCCATATAATGGATTTAAGTTTAAAACTTTCAGTAAGGAAAGAGTTAAGGAGAGGAAAAGGAAGAACCTTATTTGTTTGGGGTGTTTTTCACAAACTACACTGGTAATTTGTTGATCTACAATGAGAAATTGTAAGTATCAGGCATCTGCTATGTTCTCTGAACTCTGATAAGAATATTTAATCCATGGGAATAAGCATAGCAAGGTGCTTGACTCAGTATTTTCCCTTCTTTTCTCTTAATTGTCTCTTCACTATTTTTTTTAATTCTACAAATTTGTATTACTGCTTGTTTAGTTCAAGAAATATCTAATGAGTCCCTAACATACACGAGGCAAAGTGTTAGATGATGGGTGGGATCCAGAGACAAGAAGGATAAAATAGAATCTTTTGTAAGGTTTTCTAAGGATGTTCAGATTAATATACAAATAACTATAAGACGATATTGTAATACCAGAAAATGTCATAATAATGATTTTTCAAGAACTTACGCTGTAAAAAGCACTGTGTGCACTTACTACCCACTAAAACCCCACAAAGGAGGGCAGTTATATTCCTGTCCTCGCATGAGGAGCTGCAGGGTCAACAGTTTGAATGCCTGCTTAAGTTTCCAAATTTAGAAAATAAGTGAGCTGGATTTGGAATCCAAATTTGTCCAAAATCTTTGCCCTTCATCCCTATGGCATTCAGAAGATGGAAACATCCCACCTTATCAGATCAGGAGTGACTTCAGGAAGCAAGTGGCATATAAGGTAGACTTTTAAGAACTGGGGTGTTAAGAAACAGATATGCCTGAAAGCTACTTCGGTTACAGAGAAGAGAATGAATCAAAGGATTTCAAGGAGAGACTCAGGGCATGTATCCACAAGTAGAAGAGGTTGAGTGCACAGTGGGATTTCTGGAAGAAGTAAGACAAGACCAGTAGATTGGGAAAGACCTGTGAATGGTTCTAGACCCCAGGATAATGAACCTGCATTTCATTCAAGATGCAAAATGTAACCTAAGCCCAACTCCAACTCTAAACCTCACCAAGGTTGTCAGAGGAATGACAATGTGGAGAACTGCTTCCAGGAAGTGGCAATTAGGGTCTGGTCAGCTCAGAGGATTCGTATAGAAGGAAAAAAAGTCTTCTGGATGGTGGTTACTAAGTCAGGGCAATGAGTCCCAGAGGTTGGGAGGCAAGATGAAGCAAAGGGGATGAAGTGCTGACCAAAACAAAAGGGGAGTGGGCAGGACGAAAATCACCAAAATAAGATGTAGAGCAGTTTAATGGGATTAAAAGTGGAATAGATGGAATAATGCCTGTGTTTAAGGAATTTCAGTTTGAAATATGGAGAGGAGAGCAAGGTTAAGTTATTGTAACTCCAATACATGATGGTTTAACTACAAAAGAGATGGAGGTCACTAGATGTAGCCCATCAAAAAAGTCACTCTCTTATCTGCAAAACCTAAGTACTGCATGGCACACAAGAGATGTTCACACAAATTGTGTGTAGTGAGTGCACACCTGAATGGAAGGCAGTATTGCCACAGATAGACATTGAACCTCACCTTGAGAGGCTGGAGGCAGAAGAAAACAAAACTATCAGATTCTGACATCTCTGAGGATAAGTGAATGAGGGTCTGGGAGGGAAAGGGTCATGAGAAAGGGGAAAGGAAAAGGGACAGATGAAAGATGAGTTAGGACAATTCTTCAGAAACCAGAGGCAGTGTCCTCCATTGCTCTGAATCTCTGTAGCAAAGTGCTGGCATATCATATTGATTTGGTAGGGGAGGAGTGGATTCTGTGTCTACAGCAGAAACCAGAATCCCAGAATGTCCCACAAACAGACTATTTCACAGAATAAAAAGAAGAAAAGGCCCTGCACCCACAGCCCATGAGAGGCCCAAGTTCAGGGAGACACCCCCTCCCACCCATGTGGCTCAGGAGCTCCCAGCAGAGCACACAGCCAACAGCAGCAGGGCTCCTGGAGGGTGGAGTCAAGCCCTCCTGATGAGGCCGGCATGGCCCCTCATCTCATCTGTAACACTGCAGCTCCACACCACTCTCTTCCCAGCACCAGAATCTGGGTCACAGTGGGGTGGAGCTCTGGAAGTTCCTTGTATCTAATAAGTAACTCCCACTGATTTTCCAGCCCTTCCTTCCCCACCAGTAGCTCTGACTGTCGACACCAGGGGGCAGGCCTGGAAAATCACTCACACATTATTTGTGCTCTCCATCCCCCATCCTCACCCAGAGGTGCAGATAAACCCTGAATAGCCTGAGGTCTAAGAATGAGAATCTCTATGTGGGTGAGTCAGAAGCTCCGTAGATAACCAACCACTATGCTGTGTGCTACATTTATTCTGGTCACCACTGCTTCTCTAACATCCCCAGGCCAAGGATATGTAGCCACTGCTATGGGTCTCTGTTCTCATCAATCTCCCAGAAGCCTTTGCTCAGACAGGTTGGAAGGTCAGTGTATATGAGTCTGTGCGGTAGGGAAGGTGGGAGGACCATGGGAAGGAAAGACTAGAGATTGCTGAATACAAGACTAAATTTATGATTTCTCCTGTTGACATTTTACTTGAAGATTGCTGTATTCCCTTCTTTCTCTCACAGACATGAATAGGAAGGTGTTTATTTTTCCTAAATGGCCTAGTAACACTCATGTGAGCTTGATCACACAGCTGGAAAATCCTCTGGAGAACTTCACTGTGTGCCTTTGTGCTTGCCCTGACCTCTCTCCATGCCTCTAGACTCTTCTACAGATGCAGGCCAAGAATAATGAGATGATCATTTCTAAACCTAGTATCGGAGAGTACCATGTTATCATTGGGGGTGACAAGATTTTCTCCAAGGTCTATAAAGGGTTCCTTGCCCTGGTGCACATCTGTGCCAGTAGGGAATCCTCCTCTGGTGTTGCCGAACTCTGAGTCAACAGGTTGCCTTAAGTGATAAAAGGACTGAGACGGGATTACTCTGCGGGGGCTTACCCCATATTGTCCTGGGGCAGAAGCAGCATTCCTGTAGAGGTGGGTTGATCAGAGCCAGCCCTCTGTGAGAGGGATTGGAGATTTGTATCTGTCCATCTCCAGAAAAGACTTGTTTGTGTATGAAAGTATCTACATTAGACCTGTATCTGCCCAGACAGGTGGGCACTGAACTGTAGGATGCAGGATCATGTGCTCACAAGCTCCAGGAGTCAAGTTGAAGTTCTGCTCCAACAGGACAAAGATAGTGGGAAGAAAAATTACCCACAGGAAAGACCACCTCTGAAGACAATTATACTTATGCCCTATGCTATTGCTGTTTTCTTTGAATTTCCCATCTACTGAGCCGCTTAATTTACAAGAAAAGTACAATGACTCCTAGCATTTGTTCAATATTTTTCATGACCCAAAACACCTCCCATTTAAGGCTCATGTTTTTGAGTTGTGCTATTATTCAGAAAATAAGGAACAACAAGGATATGATAAAAACAAAATTTGTTGTAAGGGAAAAAAAAAGGGTTTAACACTTGATTAGTAGAAGTTTTTAGACTTCTCCCTCAACGGAGTTTATTCTCATTCTACTCACAACTGTTTATTTCTATGGAATTTAATTGAGGGCCTGCTAAACTGGATTTCTGGGTCACAGTTAATAGAACAGAAAGGTAGAACAGGTCTGGGGTTGCTCTACTCACTAAGAGCTGTGGCTCCTCCTTCCTTCTGGCACATCCTCAGACCTGATCTAATAAAATGCACTTCTGGAAACTAGGGGAGCAGGGCTGTCTGGTGCCACATAACTCAAGGCAAATCTTCACCTCCAGTAGCCCCTGGAGCACTGTAAAATAATCAGTGACATAAGTGTCCCAAAGTCATCAAGAAAATACTACATGCTGAATAATACTCATGTCACCTTTGCTTAAAACCCTCTAAGATTCCCAGGCATTTACGGTAGAAGTCAAATTTTGGCAGGGAATAGGGTTGCTGCAGGATTTGACTACCTGTCTGAAGGTCCACCGTATAAAATGTTCAGCCTACTGACTGGCATGTAATAAACGATATTATAATTAACAATATTAGCATACTATATACATTGCTTATATTACTGTTGTTGTTTTTATGTAAAATACATGGCACACTGTCTTGCTCTTAGTTGGTACTTAGGGAGAATGGGTTTCAACTCTCTCAATTCCTTTCCCAAACAGAAAAGAGCAAGAGATGCTAGATTTAGGAGGGTGTCCAGTTAAGGCATGTCACAGGGGTACTGGCCATGGTTGCAGAGAATGGAGTCAATGAAGATCAGAAAGCAAGAATTTAGGAATAACCCAACAGTTTAATCAAACCCCACCCCCCAAAAAAAGTTTAAACCAACTGATGACAACTTAACAGGAACAGATGAAAGGCACATAGGTACAGCACAATGTAATGAACACAGAAGATTCCAGAAACAGATGATCACGCTAGAGAGTTGCCTCTCTATAAAGAATTCCTAAAAACTGAGGAAGAGCTGCCACAATGGGTTTCTTACAAGTCAGGTCCCATGAGCCTCCCCACCTAGTAGGAGGGAAACGGTAAGTGAACCAGGTAGGCAGGTGTTTTATTGATATGGGGAATGTTTAGCTTCCCTTTGCTATCTCCTGACTTAACCATATGTTTTCTGTTTAAGATGTATCTCCTCATGACTTTATATTTTGAATATAGTATTCAAATAAAAACCAGACATGACCCTGAATATTCTATTTAATGAAATATAATGAGGATAACTTTCTGCAAACATTAAATTAATGCAAATTCTGAGGGAATCAGGGAGGGAGGAAAGATAAATGTTTCATTTTCATTTACAAGAGTATCATCTCCTAATTGTTAAAAGTATAGATAATCTAAGAGAAAGGGGTTCCTTATATCCAGAATATAGAACATTAAAAATCTAGCAATGTCCCAAACCAAAACCACAATCATTCTTTATCAATACATTCAGTCCCATGTAATTAATTCTTGTTCTGCTTGATCTTGGGTGAACAGTTTAATGAACCTGTCAGTTTCTCTGTTAGAGTTCTAGAAATCCTGACTCAGTCCAGTGGTATGGTTTCAAAGTTACAGAAGCAAAGCCATCAGAATCCTGTAGCCCAGAGTTCCTGTCATAGTCTTTTCCAAGGGACTCTGAGAAAACAAAGCACTCTGGCCTGTAGATAATTGCAAATGCTTCCCCAGAAGAACCAGAGCAAAACAGAAACTATCTGTGGGTGATGCAAGACTTAAAACGGCATGGGTAAGACATGACAAGAGTTAACTTAATAAGAATGTTTGGTTGTTTCTATGACACTCAACATTTTTAAATAATTATTAGAATTATGACTGATAACATTACATTGGACATTTCATGGACAGAGTACTGACCAATTTCTAGGAAATTAATACAATTTCTGAAATACTTACATTTATATTAACCCATACAAATATAACCTAAGTTAACATCTCTTATTTGACCATGCCTTCCCATATAATCCAACCTATCAAATAAACCAAATTAGTTTAGCATCTCTCTTTTTACAAGGTGAGAGAACAAATCCTTTGAGACTTTCCAGGGGCCCTCTAGGAAATCTCAAAGTCAGTTTGGAGTCAAGAAGATTTCATTTAAGATTTGATTTGGGGAAGGCAAAATTGTCAAAACTGTAAAACAAACAAACAAAAAAACCTTAGCTCCTTTAAAAGTGATAAGACTTGGTTCTCTTAAATAATCAAGAATAAGGTTAACATAAGGCACAGGAAATTATGCTGATAAGACAGAGAATCTTTGTTTCCTAGGTGGATGACTTAAAAAGTAAAGAAAAATCTTTTAGGATCTACTAAGAACAGACCAACAAACCAAGAAAACTCTGTTATATTAATAGAAAGAAAAACAGATTCTAGTTTTGCATCCTTATATTTTTGAGCTCATTTTTTAAAAACCTTATGAATAAATCCATTCAATCTCAGCCAGCTTAACCACACATGAAATTACTTTTCCTCTAAACCTCCTACAACTTTCTATATCCATTCAGGTTTTTTTCCTTTATTTTCTTCTTTCTCACTCTGGGACAACCAGTCACTTCACTTCAGGACAAAATTATTCTATTTTTCCCTTAATGAAAACACATGCTTCATACCTTGCAAAAGTTTCCTTATGAAAAACACATCCTACTTTTTTGTATATTTTGCCTAAAAAGTTGTTCCCCTTATAATTTTTAGTAGTTTTATTTTCATACACTGATTATACTATTTTAACCATTAGTAACCCTTCTTTTACAGAAAAAAATCTAGGAAGTAGACAGCTGTGAACTGCCTGTCACATACCAGCATTCTGTGATAGACTAGCAATTTTTTTTAATATATCATCTCACAGTTTTATAGGTCCATGCTTCCTCATATTTTTCAATATTTTTCAATAGTTTTATCTCACAGCAATTTTTTTTAATATATCATCTCATAGTTTTATAGGTCCATGCTTCCTGATATTTTTCAATATGGTAAAAAGAACGTGTTGACAGACTCAAATATATTTAGCTTCTCTATACCAAACAAAATTTAAAAGCCAAAAGCATATAAACTTAAATGTAAGTTCAGTAATGAATGTTTCAGCAGTTTATGTTACTTAGAAATGATTGAGATGTTTAATGAATATCTGTTATTTAACTTAGCATAACTCTAAGGTTGTAAGTTACCAAAAAAGATTCTGGAAATGATTTTTAGGCAGACATATTAAGCCATTACACAAAGCTGGCCATCATCTCCAGTTATTTCCCTGTTAACTCTTTTTACAGCACACACATGTTAGGCAAGTGTCAGGAAAAAACAAACAACAACAAAAAAACTGAAAAAATAAATTAAATGCTTGGGAGTTTTTTGTTTGTTTTACTGCTGTGCTTGATTTACATAAATCAATGGATATCAAGCAATTCATTTTTATTCCATCTTTACTTGTACATTTGTTTTTAGATTGAATTTACAATTTTTATAATCTTAAACATCTAGTAGATATCATATTACCCTATTTGACCAGTAAACCCAAGTAGAATAAAAATGTATGTTCATACTGTAGTCAGTGCTGTTCATTAGAAGGCATAGCTGTTTTTATTCAGTCAACAGCATTAAAATAGTCTTCAAAGATTTGCTCAAATCACAAAAACTTGAAAAGCATTTGGGTTAGTTCCTATATTTCTGGAAGTGTTGGTAATATTTAATTTACATAAACACTCATTTACCTCTAAGCTGATTTAAACAGAGCTCCTCTACAGGACTTTATAAATTTGGTAGTACCACCCAGAGGTAGGAAAATATCACAGATGCATAACATACTTACACACATACATAAACATACAGGTACAAAAAGATCTTATACCTTTTTTCCATCTAAAATTTGAGCCATGAGCCAGGTACACACAGTAATACAAAAGCTCACTGGGGCTTCCCTGGTGGCACAGTGGTTGAGAGTCCGCCTGCTGATGCGGGGGACACGGGTTCGTGCCCCAGTCCGGGAAGATCCCACATGCCGCGGAGTGGCTGGACCCGTAAGCCATGGCTGCTGAGCCTGCACTCTGTAACAGGAGAGGCCACAACAGTGAGAGGCCCGCATACCGAAAAAATAAAAATAAAAACTCACTGGTGTATTTACACTCTTTATTTATCTAAATTGTGTTTCTGACAGATAGAACAAGTCAAGGTTAACCACTCAATACGAGGGTTAAATCCTTTTACCAGTATTCGTGGAGATTTTTAAGATCTTTTGCCCTGTCGTATGGACACAGGACTACATTTTAGGTAAGAGACTGAGGCGACATGAAGCAGCTCTCTAGATGTCTCCAAAATCTGAGTGGATAAAATAGCCAGTCTTTTCCAATTGGCCTTCTTCATTTTTCTTTTCAACCTCATGCGATTGCTTTTGGCCATACCCAAGTCCTTTGAGAGCCCTAGTGGGGGCAGGGAGCATCAAGTTCAAGTGCCTGAGGGGCTGAAGTGAGAAGTAAGAGGGCCCAGGCAGGGTGAACAGAGGATGGGGGAGGGAGGGGCTTGAAGTGGGGCACAAAGGATTCAAAGGAGC